TTCATGAGCTGTACGCCAAAATCATCAATATTAGAAACAATAAAAGACTTGAACTACTTCAGTTGTGTGTAATGAATCTAATATATATGAAAGTCAAATCAGTACATTACAGACAATAATAAACTTTATCACAATATGCTAATTGTTTTTTAGAAGGACCTGTGCACCAGGAGAATATCAGCTGCAGAGCAGCTTCTCTGCCGTGCTCCTCGCTAATGACAAAATCCCTCGGGATGTCAAAGGTCACGATTTGTTTATGCCACCCGCTATTAAACAAAAAAGAGAAAGGAAATCACGTTTGATATCACTGTTTGATGTCATATATGATGTTGTTCCTCTCCCCTGCTATGATTAAAGGTGCATTATGTAGAAAGGAAGTAAAAATGACATCCTGTGGTAAAATTTGGTTACTGCAACCACTTGAAACAACTCTGGAGCTTTTTGCCGGCCGTTGTCAAATTACAATAGTGGGTACTGCAGCATTAGCTCTCAGGAGACACGACAACCCCACACTCACTTATGGTAAACAGTAGTTATGTAACTTTGTTTTGAAAGGAGAAAAACTGACAATCCCCGCAGCCAGCTGGATATGGAATATGTTTCAGTGCAACCTTCCTTTCTAAATGACTGAAACACTAGACTCTGGTGATTTTCTCACTATAAAATTCTCTATATTCTTACATACTGCACCTTTAAAGCCAAAAAATACACAGTTGCACTTCTCAAACGATGCTGGGGGTAAATAAGCCGTTTGGTCACATGCATTGACGAAATCTATATAGATATGAAATCGCATTGCTGCTGTAGTCTTATTTAGAAAATTATCAGAGGTTTTTCACTGAAACCGTGAGTAATTTCCCGTTTAGCTTTTAACTGTTAACTGTGGAAAGTGTTCTTTCCCAGAAGCAGCTTGTGGCAAAAACAGAACCTGATCCTATCTTTGGCAGCGCAGCACTTCTGGAGCATGCCTGAGAATTTCCACTTTGCGGCTGGTTGGAATCGCTCTCATAGATTTTAATGGATTCTGTTAGAAACAGCGGCGTTCCGCTACCATTCCGTGTCACTGTTGCTTCCAGTGCGAAGTAGGGATGAGACACTTCTGCCACAACCTGCATGTCAAGAAGAAACAAGAGAGCGCTAAACACCCGTCGCCGTTTTCTAGGTCCAAATGTCTTTTGTTGTCCGTTACTTCAAATGCTGTTTTTCTTTTTGGGACTCTGGTAGTTTGTCCTAAAGTTAATGTTGTAGCAGCCGGCTGTTCTCATCTGATATTGAGCAGAGAACCTCTCACACCCGTGGTGTTCTGTTGCTAAATACGTAACCGTGTAATGAATGAAGGACACAGGGAAGCAATTAGGCGAGACCAACAACTGGATGGTCCAGTAGCTGCTTTCAGTCCAAAACGTGTTATTGGCTGAGGTTTTTAGACAAATGCAAGAGAACCCCTTTATTCCTTTTTTTTGATTTTTATCTCCACAAAATATTCAATTCAATTTTCAATTCAAGTTTATTTATATAGCGCCAAATCACGACAAGAGTCGTCTCAAGGCACTTCACATCATGGACGTAATTTTGGGGGGGGGACAGGGGGGACATGTCCCCCCCCCACTTTTTCCAAAGTCAAGGTTTGACCCCTGCACTTTTTACCATCCAAAAACAATATTACGCTATATTAAATTGACACTGGTTGAGCCCTAGGACCAAGCAGAAAACAACCGTTTGTGTTGAAGCCTGTTTCCCATTAGATCATACTGTAAAGATCCCCCCCCGTCCCCCCCACTTCTAAAGTGAAAATTACGTCCATGCTTCACATAATAAACATTCCAATTCAGGTCAGTTCATTAAGCCAATCAGAAAAAATGTTTCCTATATAAGGAACCCAGCAAATTGCATCAAGTCACTGACTAGTGTCAGTGACTATACAGCAGTCCTCATACTAAGCAAGCATTTAGTGACAGTGGAGAGGAAAACTCCCTTTTAACAGGAAGAAACCTCCAGAGAATCCTGGCTCAGTATAAGCAGCCATCCACCACGACTCACTGGGGATCGAGAAGAGAACACACACACACACACACACACACACACACACACACACACACACACACACACACACACACACACACGCAGTGAGAAAGAAAATATCATGTTAAGCTACATTTATGATGTAATTGCATCTACTGAAGATCACATGGGTCATGCACCGTGGAGTTATTAGTTATCAGGGCAAATATGGCTGGAGATAAACTCTGCAGTGAGTTCTTGCTTTTAACAGCTTTGTCGCCATACTCGCCTCAGACAAATCTTGAAACCGAGGCATTTGGAGTCAGTCATCCATGCCTTCATTACATCTCGCCTGGACTATGCAAACGCCCTCCTAGTGGGTGCTCCGGTCTCTGCCCTGAATCGGCTGAAGGTCGTCCAGAACGCTGTTGCCAGGTTCTTGACAAATACGCACCGATCAAATTACCCCTGTCCTGACACATCTTCACTGGCTCCCTGTCATTTTCAGAGTATAGTTTAAGTTATTGACTTTTGTATTTAAAGCACTCAACGACCTGGCACCTCCCTATGTCTCTGACCTGCTCACTCCCTATGTACCCACGCGCACGTTCAGGTCGGCTGACCTCCTGCTGCTGTGCACGATGCAATACAAATCGCGGGGTGAACGAGCATTTGTACATGCTGCCCCAAAGCCGTGGAACTCATTACCCATTATAGTTTGGCAGGCTCCATCATTGGCGGTTTTTAAATCTCGTTTAATGACCCACTTTTACTATGTGGCTTTTAGACAGTGACTCGTTTTGGTGTTTTATTGTGTTATTGTTTTATGTGTTCTTAGTATTCCTCATGTTTTATCTGCTTTTGATTGGTATTTTTATCTTCTGTTTTAGTTGCTTTGATTGGTTGTGTTTGGTTTAGCCTGTGCAGCACTTTGGGCAGCTCCCATGCTGTGTTTTAAGCATGCTGTTTACAGTATATAAACTATGGCATGGTATGGTGGAATCTAACAGTATTGGCTCATGTAAGCGATTATACTGTAATGACTCAGAGTCTCTGGTTGCTCTTTTATGAGTGTTATTTTCAGGCTACTGAGCCGTAACCCAGGCCTTACAAACTCTTAACTTTTTCAACAGAATCACTTGTAACGCAGTATTTACTAGCATAGCAAAACCGGAAAAAAACTGAACATTTCTCACCCGTAGAGCTCGCCTTCAAAACAAAACTTTAACCCTATAGTTTACTATTGAAACCCTTACAATATGTATGAGGTAATTTGGCCACTGCGGCTATCCGTAGATATTTCCTGATTACACAGAGGAGGGAGGGGTTTGGCTCGTCTCTGCACAAGCAGGATGGAAAAACAGAACTCCGCTGGCGTTGAACGTCCCCAAATAATTAAAAACCAGGAACCCAAATGCAAAGTTTAGAGAAGCACATTTACCCAGAGGCTCTCAGATTGAGCAAACTTGTGAGAATACACGTAATAACCTCTTAGAGATGGAGCAACATGTTGCTAGCATAGCGGCTAATCGCTAGCATAGCAGTTTGACCAGTTATATTGATATGAAGATGTAAAGTCACAACATGCCCTATAGGTCATAAATTGTAAGTCGCTTTGGATAAAAGGGTCTGCTAAATGAATAAACATAACATAAACATAAACCTTGCATCTTGTTTAAAAATTATATCAATATTTTTAAAATTTCGCCCAGCCCAGTGACTATCAAACAAAGTAAAAACAAGATGTATTTTTCAGATGATAATTTAATAAATAAAGGGAATAAAAAAGTCACATCAGCCCCACCAAGAATTTTTTTCACCAGAGTCACTGATGTCTTTCCTCATTTCCAACTGCATTCACAGTAAACCCACCCTGAGAAATGGGGGGTGTTACTGGATAGGGCTAGAACAAGGAGTGAAACACTGCATGTCAGAAGAAACACTTCATACCAACAGTCAAACATGGTGGTGGTAGTGTGATGGTCTGGGTTGCTTTGCTGCTTCAGGACCACTCTCTGTAATTGACGGAAACATCAATTCTGCTCTCTAGCAGAAAATCCTGATGAATCTCTGACCTTTGACCTTTAACAGGTCATTCATGCTGGGAGTTCTTCTATAAAGCAATTCTTTAAAAAAGAGTGGGAAAACTTTCTCCAACGGGAGGTGAAAGACTCATCACCAGTTATCACAAATGCATGAGCCAAAGGTGCTACAACCCATTATTAAGTTTAGGGATCAATTATTTCTTCACATAATTCCAGGTTGGTTAAAATAGTTGTAACCATTTAAGTCAGCAACCCAGAGTTTTCCCCTTTCATGAATTTAGTGTAATTTTATTTTTAAATCTGTAAAAGTGATATAGGCGTCCCCTGTAATGTGATATCATGTAGGCAATATGTCCATTTCTTTTGCTAACGTGAGCCCCGTGCAATTTGAATAGAGCTCCGCTCAGCATTAGCCAATGGCGTTAGACATGCGCTTACACGCAGAGATGTCAATCACAGAACGTGTGCACATTTGCGGACATAGACTGATGCAGAGTTGGCAACATTCCTTATGGACAGAAAAGTCTTCAAATTATATTCAGGGAAAACTCAACATATTTGAATATTTGTTTATTTCAATAATTAACTTCAAAACGTTAGACTAATACATGAAATAGGCTATATGTGTTTTAGCCCTGTTGGCTGGCAGAGGCAAACCAGTGTTGCCTACAACCTAATCACTGAAATAGGGGGAGGGGCTTAAGGTGCAATACATTTTTTCGCCTCTAGATGGTGACCTGGAGAAATTGGGATTAGGTGTTGTTCTGAAACATCTATGTGTGACAGAAAAAGAGAAAAAGCTGAATAAATCTGGGAGATGGTCCATACCTTTTCACTGGACTGTAGTTTTGTTTCAACGTATGATGGAAGGACACGCGCGCGCACGCACGCACGCACGCACGCACGCACACACACACACACACACACACACACACACACAGACTGATCACGTACCTTCCAGACAGCAGGTTCGCCAGAGGCCGGAGTGCGTCATCACCTCCTCGTTCTTGCGGCTAGTGTCGTTGTCGCCGCTGCTTTTCACGCGACATACTCCGCGCGAGTACAGCCAGTAGTCGGTCCCCACAGCGATGGTCATGAGGCTGAAGGCAGCGAACGCGCCCACCGTCGTCACGAGCATCTGGACGCCGCGGTCACACATCAGCATCTTCATATAGGCGGCTCCTGTGCGCCTTTGATCTTATAACCGATCCGCTCCTTTCTTTTACACTCTAAATATCCCGCGAGATTTGGAGGGTTAAGGCGGGCAGGATGGGAGATAACATTTATTTATCCTCTGGTTTTGTTTAGAGAGCGTGGAGCGGAGATTGTTGGTTGGGAGGCGTTGGGCGGGAAGGTGGGAGGCTGTCACTTTCACATCAGAAGCCGCTCCTCATCATCCTCACGCGGATTACCGATCACCGGTTGTCCCCCAACTAAACAGCGGTCACTCAGAGCGGAGGGTGAGGACCGTCCCTCATCTTCTAGTCCAGCTCAATCTTCTCTGCTTCTCCTCTTAGTTCATCATCATCTTACTTAAATAACCCAACAGTCAGATCCTGACGCGTAGCGCGAGTCCCTAACTCACCGGTTCAGGGGCTCCCGTCGACCTGCCGGGAAAGAGGATGATCACCGGTTTCCGTCGTTTGTTTTCCACTCCAGCTGTTGACTCACCGACATGTTTTCCTCCACCTCCTCTTTCCATCGATGTCTAAAGCTGCAGCATCTTGTCCGAACCTCCCCTCTCTCGTTCTCCCTCTCTCTCTCTCTCTCACACACACACACGCACACCAACCCAACACACACGCAGAGGTCGTCTGCAGCTGCAAAGAAAAGCCGCGAGGAGGTGTGTGTGATGGTGATGGAGTCCGTTACACCCGCCTGGGTTCTTCTCTCCCGAGAAACGTGCCCGCTGGTACAAATGAAAAAATGACAGCAGTTACCTCCTCCCTTGTCATACTCTTCATCATCTTCCTCCTCCTCCTCTTCTGTCCAACCAACACAAACTAAAATTAACCGCGCGTGTCTCCAAACTCCGCCTGCAGCGGCACGGATTGGGTTTGTAGGGTGGCAGTGCCCTTCAGGAGCTAATCATGAATCTTTTACTGCTGCAGGTGCTGCCAACCGCCGCAAAGATGCGTGTGTGTCAAAGCCATGCGGGTGTAGGAGGAGCTGGGTCTCCGACCAGAGGGATGGGGTGGGCCCTAATAGGGATCCAAGGTATTAACCACACAGAACGGTCAACATGTACTCAGAAATGTTATTTGGACAAAATGTTCTTTTTTTTTTAAAATTATACTGCTTTGGAGCAGGGTGTGTTGGCACCCTTCAGCTACTTGTGACTGTGACTATACCACTCAGAAGGATTAAACCAGTGCAGGATTGTCTCAAAAACTCCAATGGTTGACAAAAGAGTCAAAAATGTCAAACACAAAGGGTGAAATGTTATGAAAAAGGTCAAAATGTCATTTCTGAAAAGTAAAAGTGTTAAATAAAGCAGTGATGTCAAGAACAAAAGAATGCTGAAAAAAGTCATCCAAATATGTTTCAAAGATTAAATGTTATGATTATAGTTGAAATGGGAATTAAGGGTTAGGGTGTGTACGCACACAGGGGTTCATGGTGCTCTCACAAGTATGGGCTTGGGCATCTTCAACACATCACCTAAGGCTGTGGTTGGCACAAAATACACTATTACCCTGTGCTTTTCAGCAAAAATAGTTACTGTTGTATATACTCATGCTTGGTGTGGTGATATTTTGGTTGTGTTGTATTTTTGTGTGTCCCCATTTTTTTTTATCTTTTTCTGTAGGTCTAGAATTGGATTCTGGTTCATTTATTGTTTTATTTTGTGAACTCCACTCCCCCCACCTCTTCTTCTCCCCCCTTTCTCTTTAACTTCTGTCTCGGTGTCCATTGGGATTCAAATGACAGAAAATATAGCTTTGGTCTCAGGCATGGCATTATAGCTTAAGCTACTGCTCAGGTTAAATATCAGAATAAACATCAGGATCTGGTCTCTGTAGCCCACTCTTGGGATCAACAGTTCCAAGAATCAGTCATCTGTAAGCTGCTGCCTGTTTACCTCCATCAGGTTTGATTTTCTCAGAGATTTAACCCTCTAAAGTTCAAAATAAGTTTTGATCAAAGGACGAACAACTAAGTCCTTCAGGGGTACTGCTGAGTTAAAAAATGCTCATGAAATACATGTGTGGAGTAACCAGGTAGGTAGGTTTCAACGTTGCAAATCTGCAACGCCTGCCTCCCGAGGGTTAAAAGCTTCAGTGTTTTGTGTATGGTATGATCAGGCCTGGGGAGCTGTCCATGGTGCTGAACATGGTGCTGACCTCACTCCTGACTCTGACTCTCTCTCTCTCTCTCTCTCTCTCTCTCTCTCTCTCTCTCTCTCTCTCTCTCTCTCTCTCTCTCTCTCTCTCTCTCTCTCTCTCTCTCTCTCTCTCTCTCTCTCTCTCTCTCTCTCTCTCTCTCTCTCTCTCTCTCTCTCTCTCTCTCTCTCTGTCTCTCTCTCTCTCTCTCTCTCTCTCTCTCTCTCGGCCCCCTGCACTGCACTGATTAGTTAGAAGAGAGGGGGAGTGAAAAGATTGGCAAGCGATGCATGGAGAATCACGCCCGGGAGAGGAGTAGAGATGCCACTTAAAGAGCCACAGACCGTTTTTAATGATTCCACTCCAGCGAGGCCTTCACACAGGGTGCTCCTGTGTTTCATATACTCCACACACTACATGGCAGTGTGTGTGTATACGCCTGTTCATGTTTGTTTTCACGACTGTGATGTGGGAAACAAGCAGCAGTGCGGACCTGTTTTAAACTAAAGCTTTATTGAGACCAACTAAATGCATCAACTGGGGATGCACAGTACATCAGCATCAGCATTGGTATCAGCTGATGTTAGTTACTTTTTCACATATTGGTATCGGTAAGTAAAACTGGGCTGACATTAGTAACCAATATTTTCTTTCCATCTTGGAAGGGGCAACGGTGGCACAGGAGTTAAGTGCTGGCCCCGTAATCGGAAGGTTGCAGGTTCCAGCCCCGCTCAGTCTGTCGCTGTCATTGTGTCCTTGGGCAAGACACTTAACCCACGTTGCCTGCTGGTGGTGGTCGGAGGGACCGGTGGCGCCAGTGCTCGGCAGCCTCGCCTCTGTCAGTGCGCCTCAGGGCAGCTGTGGCTACATCGTAGCTCATCCCCACCAGTGTGTGAATGTGTGTGTGAATGGGTGAATGACTGGTTGTGTTGTAAAGCACCTTGGGGGGTTCCAGGACTCTAGAAGGTGCTATATCAAATACAGGCTATTTTACCATCTTGTTTTCATTTGTGAATATGTCAGAGGGTGAGGCGGGTGATGATGCATAATAAATGTTTAGTCATGTGAAAGTGATGGATCATCTCAGATGTGTAAATGTATGTGGTGTGTGTGTGTGTGTGTGTGTGTGTGTGTGTGTATATATATATATATATATATATATATATATATATATATATATATATATATATATATATATATATATATACATATTTCATCAGTATTGGCAACTATCGGTTATCGTCCATAACAGCAACATTAATATCGGTATCGGCCCAAAATTTCACATTGGAGCATCCTTATTATTTAGCCTGGCCTACCAGACTCGTCCTCTGTTTAATTCTGCACAGAGAAAGAGTCTGGTAACTCACGGGCAGAGACGCACTTGAGGGGCGGGACTAGGCACCTCAAAAATAACCAATCAGAAAAAAGACGGAAATGCTGACTGCACCACGCAACGCTGTATTTTTTTTAGCTGTAGTCAAAAATGGTGTCTGGCAACGGCGTGAATATCTTTTATTTTAGAAGAAAGGCTTTTAGCGCTTCTACTTGTGGTTTTAAAGACATTCAAGTTATTTAGAGCAGAGGAAGGAGCCGCAGCGAACTCCGCCGCTTCCTTTGTTTTTTATGAGAAACTGAGCGTCGCTGTGTGTGACATCCGTGACGCTGTAGTCAAAAATGGCGTCAGGTGACAGCGCACACTTCTTTCTTTAGAAGTAAGGCTTTTAGTGCTTCTACTTGTTGTTGTTGTAGACGTGTCCAAGTCATTTAAAAAAGAGGAAAGAGCCGCAACAAACTTCGCTTCAGTCGCCATGTTTATGACAAACTTGGCGTTATGGTTTGATGTATGCTACTCGGCGCTGATTGGCTCGGTTAGAATTCTCAGGGGGTGGGGTTATTTGAATAGGAGAGTTCCCAGACCCTTTCTCTGTGCAGAATTAATCAGAGGAGGAGTCTGGCAGGCCAGGCTAATTAACGGACTAATTTAAATGTAATTTAGAAATGTTTTAATTTTCTCTCTTTTACCACATTTGCTCAGATATTTGAATGCTCCAACAACATAAATGCCTGTCCCACAGAGCACAGCACAGATCATTCTTAGCTGAGTGATCAAACCCCTCGGGTTGTTGGAACAGCTGCAGGGGTTTTTCTGGGTTATTTCAGGCTTACTGGCTGGTTCACAGACTGTAACTGACCTAAAGATAGAATAAGGTAACTGGCAGGTGCTCCGGAGCTGGGAAACTCGTTAGGATTGTATCTCTTGTACCACGAACCCCAACAACATATGTAACACTGTGTTTGTGAGTGTGTGTGTGTGTGTGCGTGCGCGCGTGCACTTACATGTGTGCTTGTATCTGAGGCTCCAGCTTTCTACGTTATCTCACAAGAAGACTCATTAACACAGAAATGACGGAAACACCTGGAACCAAGAGGATCCGTCCTCAGGACTCACCTGAGGCCTCATCTCCCCATAAGGACATATTAGAATTATTAGATTCTACAGATAAACGGCTTCTGGGATTTGAGGGGCGACTCGGGGCGACTCGACCTGCTTGAGGTTCTACATCAGGAGTTCCAGAACCTCCTAACCTCCCCTGAGTTCAGCCAGGAGCAGGTGCAGCAGCTCGCTGCGAGAGTCCGTTTCTTCCCTGGAAGAGGGAGTGAAGCGGATCACCCAGGACAACAAGATTCTCAACGACACGGTTTTCGACCTTCAGGCCCATAGCGTGAGAGATAATTTGGTGTTCGCAGGCCTGCTGGAGCAGACGGGAGAACTGCGAGCAAACAAGAACATTCTCCAGACCGAGATTAAGATACCTGAAGAAAGGGTACAAAAGATCACCTTTCACCGGGTGCATCGCCTTGGAGCTAGAAGAGTGGACAGCAAACTTTATAAGGAGCGAGGAGTGACAGACTGGCTGTATTAGCCCAACATCAGGTCAGACATTTATTATTCTTATCAGGATTCACCGGGTTTGAGCACATTGGGATTAAATAGCTGCTAGATCCGTGTTCTAGATGCTATCACCTGTTCTTAACCACTCCATCACACCTTTGCTTTTTAGTTTTTTCTTCTTCTTTAACCTTTATCATTCTTTCCTCTTTTTATCTGCTTCTGGACCATTACATCTTTCCACAACTTTCCATCACTGCGTCAGACTCAGCACGCACGCACGCACGCACGCACGCACGCACGCACGCACGCACGCACGCACGCACTCACACACACACACACACACACACACACACACACACACACACACACACACACACACACACACACACACACACACACTAAATCTACAGCACAATATCACAATTTATGCGTCTCATAATACAACCACAAACCCTATTATTCTTATTTATTTTTCTGTTATTTATTAACATATTATTTTATACATTTAAGTACTTATTCCATCATATTCACATGAAGGCGTCATATTCTAGTTACTCACACACACATCTATGGGTGCACTAAAGTTTGTCTCATGGAACGTACATGGAGCTGGCTCCAGAGAGAAAAGATGAAAGATTTTTGGTCAGTTAAAAAGAGTGCAAGCAGATTTAATATTATTACAAGAGACTCAAAGATCTGCCACAGCTGCAGATGAACTTAAAACACCTGAGTTTCCCAGCATGTTCTCTGCCTGCTATAACTCTAGGAAAAGAGGTGTAGCTATTTTATTACACGAAAACATCAATTTCATAGTATTGGACACATTTTCAGATCCAGAGGGTAGATATATAATGTAAAAAATATCTGTACTGAACCAAAGCTTATGTATTGTCAGCATATATTTTCCAAATAATGATGACCCTCCATTCTTTCATAATTTTTTCTCTGTAATCTCCCAACACTTGTACGTTCCACTTATACTTGGAGGTGATTTTAATTTTTGGATGGATACTTTAACAGACAGGCTCAGTACAGCTGGGACTCAGTGCAACTGGCAATCCACTAACATAGTTAAACAGTACATGAGTGATCATGGGCTTTGTGATGCATGGCGATCTCCTCATCCTAACCATAGAGAGTATACTTTTTTCTCACATGTCCATCACTCTCAATCATGTTTGGATTATTTTCTAGTCAGCAGTTCATTGTTGGCTGACATGTCAGACACTGAGATACACCCTATAGTTGTTAGTGACCATGCTCCGGTTTCTTTAACTCTGGTAAACAAGAAGACAA